GCAAGTGCTCTACCACTGAGCTACAGCCCCAGCCTGTGGAAATGTTTCTTTAGTGGGCAATCTTCTAGTGCAATTATTGTGGCTCAATAAGCAGAGAAGACTGACCACTGTCGTAGGGAAAACAGGTAGAAAGTTGTTCCAGGAGAGTGAACCTGAACTGGGGTACAATGACCAGAGGAATGGAAGAGAGGGTTGATGTGAAAGGAAAGTAGTGTTCAAACTTGGGAACTCATTGTATATATCTGAGTGGGGAAGTCAGTTAAGGTGGTTTTGAGACAGGCAACTATGAGTGCTAATGGTCCCTTGATAGGTAGTTGTAGGAGGAAAGGTCACGGATACAATTTTGAATACACAAATGGGGGTTATCTGGGTAAAAGTGTCCAGCAGGATTTGGAAATCTTGGGATGGAGTTGGAGAATGGAGGAAGAGATAACATCACAAATATCAGAGTAATGGGCACAGTGGTGACAGGTGGAATGATGAGAGCAGGTGAATCCATGAAGGAGAGGATGGGAAGGGGTATATCACTGGGAAGAGAGTTGGAGGTCCTACAGGAGCAACTGGAGAGGAAGAGGATGCAGCTGATGCACTCACCAATAGTGATGGTGGTCACAGAGAGTCCAAAGGGGCTGGAGAACAGAATTAGTTATTGGATTTTGTTACATGGTGAGACTTGTGGTCTTTAAGGGGACATTTTCACATTTTTTTCCATCCTTGATGAAATTCAGATTTTAAAATGCAATATATCATTGGAAAACAAGGCATGCTTGTTTTCAGAATATGTTGAAACTTTAAGCACATAGGACATGATTTCAGATTAGAGTTTCTTTTCTTTTTTGTACTGGGGACTGCACTCAGGGGTGCTTAATTACTGAGTCACATCCCTAGTACTTTTTATTCGTGTTTTTAAATTTTGAGACAGGATCTCACTAAATTGCCAATGTGTCTTCGAATTTATAATCCTTCTTGCCATCCCAAATCACTGGGATTACAGGTGTGTGCCACGACACCCAGCAAAGACTTTTTATTTTTCTACCTGGGATCTGGGAATTGAATCCAGGATTCACTTAACCACTGAGCCACATTCCCAGTCTATTTTATATTTTATTTTGAGACGGGGTCTCACTAGGTTGCTAAGCCTGGTTTTGAACTTGTGATTCTCCTGTCTCAGTCTCCTAGGTTACTGAGATTTACAGGCATGTGCCACTGTGCCTGGCAGACTTTTTAAAATAAATAATGAGCACTCTGTTTTTCTTAAACATTCTCCACACAGAGGGTTACTTTAGGATAGAAATGGTGTCTTATTCATCTTTGTACTGTGACCACCCCAGTCCTCTGAAAAAACAAGCCAGAAAAACCAGGGCCTAGCTTCCCATGACAGGAGCTCAGTAAGAGCCCTAGTTATCTGAGGTGGGTGTCCACGCTGGGGTGGGTTCCCTCAGTGGCTCAGAACATGAGGCATGGTGTGGGAGAGGTCTATGGTGAGTGGCAGGTAAAGCTAAGGCCATTTCCCACTCACAGTCCTAGCCATCATTTCTTGAGGACTACATACTTGGCACTGGGCAAAACAGGCAGGAAAGCTTGGTTCTATTCCCAGCCTCTCCCAGTCTAACCCTTTCACCAGTCATCTCAGGGTGGGACAACCACATTTTATTAAGTAAGTGGGCAATTCTCCTTGCAGCCTCCCTGAAGCCTTCTCTCTTCCTTCCATACATTCTCCTTCTCTTCCTACCTCTCAGACTGCTGATGCTGATTAAAAACCTGAATAAACTCTCTAGCTTCAGTTGCTTTTCATTGACTCATTTAAAAATCGCCAGTTTTGGAGGTCACATAGCTGAGCAATGTACTATTAGCCTCTCACTAACTTTATCTGTAGATGACGCCTCTGCCGTGTGGGTTGTGATGATAATGGCTCTGTAGGTTACTTTTCAGGGACTTGAAGGGCACTTTTATGGAAACCACTGACTCTTCACTTGGGCCCCCACAAGTGTCTGATTGGTGACCTTTTGACATCAAAAGCTGAAAACCCCACCCTCAGATCATGCCAATTCCACCATTTTCTGAATATGCTTCCCATGAAGAGCCATAAAAATTGATTACATGTGTATATGGACTACCTCACCCAAATCACCTTTCCCATGCCTTAAATCACCCTGATTAATTATCACATAAATATGCCCAAAGCTTACCCTTGGGAGGGGGATTTGAGTCTTGGGCCTCCTACCTGACTGGAAAATAAACTTTCTTTCTCTGTTGCAAAATGCATGATCTCAGTTATCAGCATACTGTGTGGTGGAAAAAATGGGTACTGTTTGGGAACACAGCCCTCTCCTGATCTTTGCCATCTTCTCCTACTTGCCATTTAAATGTAACTGTCACTGGGCTCTCTGTATACTGTGTGACCTCTCTGGAGGAGCTCATCCCCACTCATAGATGCAGCTGTCCTTTCTGGAATCCCCAGATGCTCTAGCTCCACCTCCTGAGAGCTACACTCAAGTGCCCTGTTTCTGGGCTGTCTCACATAAGTGTCCTTCAGGTACCCGAAACTTGACAAGTCCAAAACTAACCTCATTACCTTTCTGACTCTCTCTCTCCTTCACTGTCGTTACTTACAAGTTCAGTGCTTCCATCAGTGAAATGTCTGAAATAGTTCCCAAATCCACCCCCCTGGGCTGTTTCCACTCTCACTTCCTTAATTCTGGCCTACACATCATTTGCCTCAACTTTTGCTGTAACATTTTAACTATATTTTCCTTATAAACCTATCTTAAATATTACTGAGGTAGATTTCTAAATATAGATACTTGTACCTTCTCATTTAAAACATTTTCTGATGACATTTGATTATATAAACTTTGAATTCCTTTGCTTATTGAAGGAAGACTTTTACCCCCACTGTTGTGGCTGGGGATTGAACCCAGAGCCTTGTGCATGATAAACACATGCTCTACCACTGAGCAATACCCAGCCCCAGAAGGATTTTCAAGTAGAGCTTCTTTCCTTTTATCTGCTCCTCTTTCTCATCTAGCTTATGCTGCAGCTGTTTTGAACACGTTCCCCTGACTTTGTGTTAGCTGTTTCCTCTGCTTGGAAACTGCCTTATGTCTTGTTCAGCCAGGTGAAATCAGACTTGTCACTCAAGGTCCATACTACCCTCTTGGGTAGAACGTTCTTTAACTCTGCTAAGCAGATTTAGTATACCACCTACTTTGGGTTCTTATCACCTTGTGCCAACACTATTAATATTTGTTCCAGTGCCTGATTTTCTTCCTGTCACTCCTACCAGCTTGTGGGTGTACATGGCAGAGTCTTGCCTGTTAATCTTTATATCCCTAGTACTGAGAACATGCCTGGGGACACAGGAGGCACTTGATAGATTTGTAGAACTGGACTGAAACCACAAAGAGTCATTTCTCTCTTTCTCTTTCTCTCTCTGTCTCTCTCTCTCTCTCTTTAGAGTTAGAGACTCCAGGGAGCTGATTTTGGCCTCTTCATCCTCATTGGATTACAGACAAAGTCAATCATACAGCAAAACAGTCTTTTTGTTGTTGTTGTTTGTTAGAAGCAGAAAAACATACCCCTTTAAATTATTGTCACTGGACTAGATTTTCCCAATAATTATTCCATGGCTTTATACTTTTTCTAACACATTGCAACATTTTCCTTTAGGCCCTAAGTTAGCTTTACCTCAATCAATAAACTGTCCTTGAGAGACACTTTAGAGAACTGATACAATTAAAACTTGGTTTTGTAGACATTTTCAAGGAATGACTGTGACAGGGTATGTGTGTGTATAGATAATTATATCAGCATAAAACTATTCGATAAGGAAATGTTTAGCAGTAGACCAATTAAATAATTCCCTGAGTGAATAATATTGTCTTTCATGTTAAATTTAAATCAATCCTGAATGGTAATGATAATTAGCAAGATCATTAACAATTGCAAAATATGTTTCAGAAAAAATTTAGAGAGCTAGCTTAAAAGAATTTGGTGGAGAGATGCTTAGCGGTGGTGGTGACAGTGTGAGTGGGGGATAATCAAATCAGAATTGAGAAATGTGTCAGTTTGATTCATATTTACATGGCTAACTGTGGAGACTGAGCATGAGTTTCAGTTTCTGTTCAAAAGCCAAACTGACATTTAAGAATATCATTCCAGGTAAAGTATGGCAGTAGCCACATGCCACTGTAGGACTGGGCAGTGGAAAGTGGGCTCCTTTGCTAATGTATTTGGGGTAAAAAGTTGCTTGAATCATATTTGCAAGGCTACCATCAAACTTCTGATCTAATATATGTGGGATATTTCTTCTTAAGATTTTTTAAACCTCATATTAAAATGAAATATTGCCAATACCTGGGAATACCTACTTTGAAATAATGGGGAATACTGTTTGAATATACAACTTTGAAAACATAGTCACAAATGGACTCTTTTTAGAACAAAAAAAAATTTTTCCCCTTAAACTTGGCACATCACTGAGTATGGAGGAAGGAAGATGAGATGACCAGTGCTGACTGGATTACTGACACAAAGCAGGCTGGGAAGTACCCATGAGGCCACCTGGAGTTCAGTGTTCCTAGGGATGCTGACTGTGGCTCTTTCTGTCTGGGGCAAAAAGGGTGATTTAGGTTGGAGCTGTCTGTACTTGAGCTGAGAGGAACTAAACTGAGGTATCTGCATTGAAGCCCAGGGGATATTTTTTGAACCATGTGGAAAAGAACTTAAGAGTTTAGCTCCCATTGTTCTCTCCCCATGCCTTCGGTCCTGCTGGGTGCAGGCTGGGCTGGTCCCTCTAGAATTCAGTGCATCTCAAATTCTCATGATCTCACAAATCCCATCCTTATATCTTATAAGGTCTCTGTTATAAATATCTTCCAGAACTCTAGCAGTATTTAGACAAGCTACTATGAAAGAGAAAGCATCATACACCAGTTAAAAACATATGCAAAACCAAAGCTCATTAGAAGAAAGATAATATTCATGCAGATTTTACAAACCGTGTCTTTAGGGTGGCCCAATAAGTAGAAATATGGGGACCCATGCTTGTCACTTTTCATGCACATGGAGAGACTGGAAGGTACCATTCCTAAAGGAAGGGGAGGAACAGCCTAGGACCAATCATTAGAATTAACAGAACCAGTGACAAAGATATATTATTACTGTTAGAATCAAGATTGCTTAGTATGTTTAGAGCAGTTGAATAAAAATTATCTAGGTAGTAAGAATAAAGACTTTAAGTAAAGCTAATCCTGTCAAGCATGCAGCAAGTGAAATTAGTGAAAGACTGAGCTACATGTGTATTTCTAAAGTAGAATTTTCTTAAAACACGGAGGGCATCCTGAGGTGCTTTTAGGGAGGCACAACTATTAATAAAATTTGAAATGGTAATGCCAGAATTCTTATAAGAATTTCTTGTAACAATGAGATGTTTTAGCATTATCAGCTGTCATTTGAGAATCAGTAATCATTTCTAAATTTTAAAAAATTCTAAAATAATGACATGGTATCTCTATGTTTACATTCATGTTTTGTCTAATAATCTCATAAATTCTTATAGTTCCCCTTACCTCTAACATTCTGCTTACTTATATTCAAAGTTCACACTTGACTTGCTGGGTGTAATTGCTTTCCAGGAAAAAAAAAATAAAGCTAAAGAGAATTACAGCCATTTCTTGCCTGTTCCACTCTGCTGTACTTACCTGATCTGAACTGTGCTTTGAAATCAACCTCTTAGCATCGCTGGAACTAACTAAAACCTCTTGGACTATGTCTGGCTTAGTTGATGGATGACTGTTCTTTACCTATACAAAGATAGACACTAAAAATTCTGGAATATCTAGGTCAACAATCTCCAAGAGACAAGACCCCTAGTATAGGCAATAACTGGCCCTGCTATACTATACCTGCTACCATGCTCTGAGGGCCACACAGTGTGAGCTCAGGGAGCATGTGCTCATTGTGAGGAGCACTTGATCCAGCAGCTCAGACATGGGGAGGCCTGATTCCCTCTTTGCCAGTGTACACAAATGAAACTCCCTGCCCCCCCTTGGACTCGACTTGTTCCACATGTGTCCTGTATATATGGCTTTAAGGTGCAGAATAATGGACTAGGACTCCCCACTGATTATGGATGGTTCTCCAGGGGTCTTTTTCCTCTGATGGTGCTGGTGCATGTTTGAGTTAAGGAAGAACACAGTGGGAGACCTAATGCCTCTGGTTAAAAGGGAGGAGAACTCCCTGTGGCAAGGGAGTGAATGCTTCACAATGAATGTCACACGTGGAAATTAAATTTTAGGATTTATTAATTGAGTTTACCATTTAGCCCTGCCAAGATGCAAGTAATTTTGTGAGAAAATGATCAAGCTGTTTAGTGTCACACAGAGAAGTCTCTCATTTGGTTTTAAACATGGCATTTACTGGGCTTGAAAGATAGAGTGCTGGGAAACCTTATACCCAGAAGGTCAAATAAAAGGGCTCAGAACATGGTGGAAAGAAATAGTTGTGAAGGCAGGAGTAGAAACTCTAGTAAATGTGAGAATCAGAGGGCTGCACGCTGCGCAAGGTCTATTCAGGGCTCACGCTATGAGTTATGTGTTTAGCCCTAAAACACAGCATCCTCATGAAGCCAGGGTCACCCTGAAAAGACTAGAGACCTTTATAAAGAAGTGTAAGGGTAAGCTATTCTGTAAGCAAATGTATTAGCCATATTATAGCTAATAACTGTTTAGTCGTGACTGTGTGTTTTTTGTTCTATCAAAATGTTTTTGCGCCCAAATACCACCTTGAAGAATATGTGATTCACAAAGTTTAGAGATTTTGTTGCAAATAGACCATAGAATTTAAGCCTAGAGTAAGGCGTTGTATGAATTTATTTTTTGGTCCTGAGGGAATTCATTTAAAAAGAATTATTGGGAAGTCCTTATCAGAACAGGACACTGGGGATTGAAGGAAAGTTGGAGGCTGTTTGTGAAAAACAAAAATCTAGTCAGTGGCAAAAATATGGAGTTGGTACAAAAATCAGTGATTTCCACAGGTTAAAAGGAACAAAGGGATGAATATACAGAATGCTGAGGATTTTTAGGGCAGGTAAAATATTATGAGGGTAGACACATGTATACACATCTGTTTACATTCATAGAATGTATTGCACTGGAAGTGAGCCCTAGTGTAAACTATGAACCTTGGATAATAATGGTATGTTAATGTAGGGTCGGCATACATAACAACTGTACTACTGTCACAGGGCATGGTGACCATGGGGGATGATGTGCATGTGTGGGGCCAGGAAATATATGGGAAATACCTGTACCTTTTTTATTCAAATTTGCTGTGAACTAAAACTAATATAGAGAAATAGTCTTTAATAAATAGAGTTGGCTTAGGGACTATTGTTTTGCATTAGAAATTGAGGCTCTAGAGGGTTTTAGGGTACTTTAATTTAGAAGCTGTGGCTGGTGTGTTGCATGACTTGGGAGAACTAGGGTAGGGCAGTAGGCACAGGCACCTCTGAAATGACGCTTTGGAGACTTGATGTTTGCTGGTATGGCAATTGACTGAACCCACCCCCAAATTGGTCCTAAGATATGGGACTTTGCTTTGAACAGCTGGACACCAGGGTATTGTTGACAAACTCCTTCACAAGGATTAAAACCTTTTCTGTAAAGTCTTCATTTCAAGACAAGTAAAAATCAGACAGTAGGAAAAGCAGCTCTGGCATGTGGTAGTAACTACGTAAAGGGTCTAGCTGAGGGGTTAGAAGCTCATCTTGAATCAACACTCGCATGCTGTGAAGCACAGGGTCAGACTGTCCTCAATGAGGAGAGTGGAAACCACGCTCAGATTGTGGAAAAGACAGGAGATGGAAGATGGGATAACAGTGGGAGGAAAATTCAGTCTTCTTTTTTTTTGTCTAAGTTGCTATGGCTGAAAGTCATAGAAAGGCAGAGTGCTTTCCTAGGTGGGCAAAGGAGGAGGCAAGGTCCTCTTTTACAACAGAGTGAGAAGAGACAGATCCAGCAACCTATAGGGCATGGAGTTCTATGAATTTGCTGGGATAGCATTTAAAAAATAGAGTCCTGGGCCCAACTGGACTCCATCAGAATCTCCTGTGGGTATGTGGAGTATGAGAGGAGGTATGGGTATTTATATATTTAAAAGTCGGAATTATTGCTCTAAAGCTTGTTGGGGGTGGGGTGGGGACAAAGACTGAGAGGAGGAGGAGGGAGTGAGGATGAAAGGGAGAGAGAGATGCTTCCAACTCTTCTCAAAGAAGTGTCCCTGCCCCCATTTTTAGCCTCATAGGGTTTTCTGAATCTTCATATTTAATATTGTTAACTGACCTCTGCTACTTACCTCTCACTTCCCCACCACTTAAGAAACATTTTCTTGAATTTGTGATTTCTCCGAAGTTCATCTGATATTATCAGTGATATCACTGCCATTTATCAGTGTTTCTGCTAAAAAAGCTGCCTTTCCTCCTGGACTTTTGTAGAAAGTAGCCTCTTATGGAAAGTTTCATTTTTGTTAGGGCAAGGAAGAGAATATTTCAAATAGACCCTAAAAATAAGATGTTCAGCCTGGGTTACTGGAGGAGCAGGAATTTAGGTTTTCCAAGATACACTTGGGTACTCTTCTCAGTGGGATTTGGGAAAGATATCTCTTCATACATTCATCTCCTTTCACAACTTTGATTTAACCTTAAAAGTGAAATGGATTCTCCTGGGGAGAAGTTTTGGTCACTATGTGGTCAAATACGTTTTATTAGGGTGTTAAATGCCTTACAAGCAAGGATTTGCAGGTGTTGGTGGTGTGTCACTTAATATATACTTAAGGAGAAAAAAAATGCACGTTGGAAAACATGTAAGAATATGTAACAAGGAGGAATATCATTATAGTCTGTGAGTTGCAATAAAACAATGTGAAGGAATTGGATTTCACCCAAAGAACACATAAAATAGTACCTGAGGTTTAGGCTGAGCACTGAGGAAAAGAATTTCAAAGTTATGTGTTCTTTAAGGAAGTCCCTGCCTCAGGCTCCATGGAACAGGAGAGCGTACTGTGAGTTTTTTAATAGGTAGAGAATTCCTCGGGTGGTCTAAATGCTGCAGAGAGCAGTGTTGAGCCTTTTAGGCAGGAAGAGGAACCCTGCTGTCTGTGATATAGCCCAGGGTTCTGCCAGACAGCCCGTCCTCTTCCCTGGGTGCTTTATCATTTCCTCTTACTCAGCAGAAGGTGTTCTTGAGTGATTTGTGGAACCTCTCATGGAAAAGGAAGATACGCTCAACCATGAATGTCAGAAGATGAAATTAAATTTCAGAATTTATTATTGAAGCAAGCCGCCTTTTGCCCTACTGGAAATGTAGGTGAATTAGTGCAAAGGCTACGGAGCCACTTACTGCTCCCATAAACCAGCCTCTGAGGAGGAGGGGAAGCAATGGCCACTCTCCCTTTGTCTTCCCATGGGGCATATCAGCATGCCTGAGGCTTAGGTGATAGTACAGTGCTGCAGGCTTTCCTACCTGGCTGATGGCCTCGGGAGGGAAAGAGGAATGATTAGCAAATTTGTTGGATGGACTTCTGGCTCACTAACTTGGAATTTTTAATTCAGATAAGATCTAAGCAGAGATTCATCCATACTCAGCAAGTCCTTTCCTCAGAAACAGTGTGAATCACTGGTTTGAATATTACAAAGGAAATGCTTAACAAACTGAAGAAGCCAAGTGCTCTTTAAGAACTCTTAACACTCTAGATGTACTTATTAAATTCTATGAATAATTAATAAAAACCAATTTTTTTTTTTTTTTAACCAGAGCAGATCCTTTGAGACCTTCTCATCCATTGTCACTCTGTTAGAAAGTGTTGTTACACATGCCCTCTTTATTAGATTGTCTGCTCACTGAGGGCTGGGACTGTGCCTTACTTCAGTGCCTGCAAAGAGTTGTACAGGTATGTAGTATATCTTGGTTTGGTTGAGGAAATATTAATTATATTAATTAACAACATTCATCCCAGGATTTGTCCCATATAGAATATTTCGTTAAGGGCATAGTGTCTGGAATTTAGGTTTGAATGATCAGAAGGAAGAAA